TTTGTATGTTTTCATTGTACTTACTGTTTCTAATTTTCTTCCTTTCTTTTTGTACCTTTTCTGATTTATCTCTCTTTTCTTCCTTCCTTCCTTCCTTCCTTCCCTTCTTTCCTTTTCTCTTCTCTTTTTTCTTTTCTTTCTGTTCAGTGGATCAAATCCAGGGCCTTGCACATGATAGAAAAGTGCTGTACCACTGAACTACATCACACGTTCCTTTTTTGGTTTTAATGAAGTGTCTTATAATTCTACTTTCTCTCCTTTTTCTTTTTTCCTTTTTGTTTTTCTTGAGACAGGGTCCTACTATATAGTCCAGTACTCACTCATCACAGGTGTATTTATACCTCTAGATAAGCTGGGGAATCCAGTTTAAACTTTCCTGAGACAACTGGTTATGCTACCTGGTAACTTTCAATCATTTTGTTAAGTTCCTGTTTTGATGTTATCACCCAAGCATGAAGATAATGGGCAGGTTAACAATCAAAGGGTTTTGTGATATGGATGTAACCTTTCCCTTTTTTTCTTTTTGGTGGGACTGGGGTTTTGTGCTTGCAAAACAAGTGCTCTACTGCTTGAGTCATACCTCCAGTCCATTTTGCAGTGGTTATTTTGGAGATGGACTCTTGAACCATTTGTGGGGTTGGCCTCAACCTGAAATTCTCCTGATCTCAGCCTCCCAAGTAACTAGGATTATAGGTATGAGCCACTGGCACCTGGCTTACATGGGTATAACCTTTGTGCACATTCCTTTCTGACCAAAGACATAATTCACCAGGTACATCTCTATTTGGACAGTGTAACTCACTTAACACCTAATAGAAGGAAGTATAATGGAAAGAATGCATGCATATACCTATCAAAAAAGACTAGTTTCACTTGTTGCTCTAGTGATTTATTTTAGCCTTAGTTCCTGATTCTGGCTTATTTTCTAGTGTTTTCTATTTTCCCTGTCACCTTGTCCTATCTATCTTGCCTCATTCTATCCCTGAAAGACTTTGGTCTCATCTTCTTAGGGGATTGTTGAGGGTCAAAAGTCTGTCTTCTTATTGTTGCTCTCTGCTGAGAATGGGTATTGACCCTGCCTAGTGAGGAATCAAAAGTCTTTATCTTAGTCAGTAGGTGACACAGGAAATTCAGTTGGCAGCTGCCAGGATCAAGACCAAAAGACATCAATAGTACCTGGTGATTCTTTAAAAAGCGTCACAAGGGAAAATCAGTGATAATCATAATTTGGTGGTACTGGGAACTTGGGGACTTGTGTTTGCTAGGCAGGTGCTCTACCACTTGAGCAGCATCCCATCCCTTTTTTGCATTAGTTGTTTTTCAGATAGGGTTTTGCATTTTGTCCTGGTTGGCTTCAGACTACAGTCCTCCCACCTACAGCCGCTTGCATAGTTGGGACCACAGGTGCATGCCACCACACCCAACTTATTGATTGAGATGGGGGGTTTCCTTGTTTACTTTTTTTTCATTCATGGTGGCCTGAAACCATAATCCTCCTGATCTCTACCTCCCAAGTAGTTGGAATTATAGGAACAAGTCACAATGCCTGGCCTCAGAAGTGATACAAGTAGTGTTCTCTATGTATTGATAAGGCTACCAAAATTTTTAAGAAAAATAATTAAAGACATTAAAAGAATGTAAAGTTTATGGATTTCTATGCATTAAAAACAGTTGACATCCACAAAAACATCACAGTAGACTGGTAGCTATTATAAAGATGGAAACCATAACAAGTAGCTCATAGCAATTGAACTGATCCTCTCCCAGAATCCTAGGTCTTCAAACCCGTTATAGCTGCCTTTTTATTTTTCTTCATCAGCCTTTATTTGGTCAATTGATCTCAGTTATATTTTTGAAAGCTCTTTCATCTGAGTACAGACAGATTTTTTACCAATGGCTGCATATTCCACCCTGGCACACAGTAGGAAATCCAGTGTGTTCTGGTTTGCAGTGGAGAAACCTCAGACTTTTGAGACTTTTTTTTTTTTTTTACAGGTGCAATTATAAAACTTTGGCTGCCTGGATTTGTTAGTCATTGAAGTATTCTTATTTTCTGTAACTAGACAGATGATTTTCCCTTCTCCTCCTGGTTCAAAAGAAGGGATCCGTCCTAGCCTTTCAACTATGCCAGCCTCAATGTTTGTGAGAGAATGAGAGCGATGAACAGCAAATGGTATCTTAGTATTATTCTGAAAATGGTTTTGACCTTGATAACACTTGAAAATGTCTTGTACAATCCCCAGGAGTCCCAAGACCACACTTTGAGAATCAATATCCTAAAAAAACTTACATGCTTAGACATTAGTAGTTTAACTGCTTTTAGTAATCCTTCCACTTCTTTTACAACAGTTTGGTGGCATTGACTTCTTGATTCTGTTATTGCAGTACATATCAAATAATTTGTCACTAAGAATGGAGCAGATGACAGGAGCAATCAACTCTCTAATGTCAGTAGGTCACTGGTTCTCTGCTCCAGAAAATCTTCCCCTGGACTGTCATTGACTAATGAGCCATGGCCATCTGAAATGGCAGCCACTGTGGCAGAGGACCACAGAACATGCTTAACAAGTGCTGACCCTGAACTCTCTGGCCAGAGAGACACCATCACTGCAAGGAGGTGATGAGTTCAATCTTACCTTTGCCTAGAAGGAAAGCACATTGAAAAATGGATGAGCTGGGAGTGGTGGTGCACACCCGTAATCCTAGCACTTGCAAGGCTGAGGTAGGAGGATCTTAAATTCAAAGCCAACCTGGTCTACACAGAAGGGCTATATCTCAAAAAGAAAAACAAATCAAGAAAGAAAAGAAAATTGGGTGGGCAATACAAAGAGGGCATAGCTAGAATGGTTTTGCAGCCCTGGCACCACCAAATATCGATCTTGGCTCCATACATAAATAGCTGTACAGGGTGTATATTTTTTGGCCATTTCCTTTTACCTCCAGATTTATAGATTTGCATGGCAATTTTATACCTTTAAGGTTTCAAATTTACTTTTTATTTTTTCCTGTTAGGTTTTATTTTTTTAAAATTCCTTTGTTCTGGGAAATTCTCTCCTTTTTATTTGCAACCATTCTCACAAACTTAAAAAAATATCAGCTGTCATTTTAAATTTCCAGGTCTCTTTTTTTATTGTTGTTTTGTTTTTTTTCTTTTGTTTGTTTGTTGTTCTGGGTCTTATTTTCTGATTGTCTCTTTCCCACATGGTATCTTGGACACGATATTTTCTTGTATCTGTAGGACAGTATTTATTTACTTACTTACTTAGAAACTCTCCTCTGTTCCATGCCATGTAACATCTCTATTTCTCTGGGGCAGGTTTGCTCCATCTTTTTTCTTCTTCCTGGTGTTGTAGGTTTCTACAGATGCCTGTAGCCTACTGTTCTTCGTACTTCAGGGTGAGGTGCTGAAAAGCTAATTTAAGATGACATTCAGTGAGATAGGCTTGCAAACTCGTGGGCTTTGCTGGGGGAATCCCAAGTGCCTGAGGCAAAGGTCTCTTTTTCTGAGTCATTTACATTTTCTTAAGATGAAACTGCCATTCTGCTGTCTGGGCATAAGTGTCCTGTTGGAGAACAGTGAGTTTTGCATTTTGCCTTTCAAATAACCCAGCTTTTACACCACTGTCTCCTTTCCACATCCCAGCCCCTCTCCAGGGCTCTGAGGACACTCTGGACCCTTTTCTGACCAGAGGAGAGTATTCTATACCTGCCTGGCAGTTAGAGCTTCTCTGACCACTTTTTTTCTTCAGAGTTTCATTTAATTTCTCATCTAATTTCCTGCCTTTGTCATTGTGACTTTAATTCTTTTACTATCATTTTAGGGGCTACTATCATAAAACAGGAGAAAACCAGTTATCTTTAATCAATCATCTTTAACCATAATTCTTATTCTTTTTGAAGGAATTCAATGGAGAAATGGTATTTTATTGTATCCTGATGTATGTTTGGGGAGTAGGAAGTCTCAATGACCCTTTATGGTGGGATAAAAAAAAATTCTACAAGCCTATACAGAGAAGTAGCTGGGCACAATGGCTCACACCTATAATCACAGCTACTTGGGATGCAGAGATCTAGAGGCCCATGAGTAGAGGCCAGTCCAGGCAAGGAAGTTAGAGAGATCCCATCTTAACCAACATCTGGGCGTGGTGACATGTGCCTGTCATTACAGCTACACAGAAGGTGTTAGTAGGAGGATTGAGGTCCAGGCAAGCCAGGGCAAAAACTAGAGACCCTATCCCCAAAACAGCTAAAGCAAGAAAGACTGGGGGTGTGGTTCAAGTGGTAGAGCTCCTGCCTAGCCAGTGTGAGGCCTTGAGTTCAACCCCCATTCCACCAAAAAAAAAATGTATATATACATATATATACATATATATATATATATATATATATATATATATATACACACATATATATACAGTCTGTAACTTTCTTTTCACCGTCTGTATTAGTCACAGTCCTCCAGAGAAGCAGAACAAATTCAGGGCTCACACAGTGATGTAGGCTGGCAGAGTGGAACCCAAGGCTGCAGACCCAAGAGAGCCCGTGCTCCAGTCTGAAGGCGGAATGCTGGGAATTCTCTCTTACTTGGGGAGGCTGACTTTTTTTTTTCTATTTGGGTCTTTGGCCGATTGAATGAGTTTAACTCACATTGTGGAAGGCAATCTGCCTTATTCCAAATTCACTGATTTAAATGTTAATCTTATCCAAAACACTCTCCAAATTAACACCTAAAATTAAACATCACAGTAGGATACCAATGCTTATAAAACTTTTAACTTTTGCTTTTTTATAAACAGGGTCTTGCTGTGTAGTCCAGATTCCTGGTCTCTTTCTTGCACCTTTTTACCCCTAAATAGAGAATCCTATGTATTCTTGTCAAGAACACCTGTTTTATACATGTTGGCTCTGCATTGACCGTCCTTCATGTCTGTAGTTATCTGGACACGAGGAACCTCTTGGCAAGTCAGCATCTATTTCAACATTGTGTCTTTGCTTCTTAGGGTGGCTACAGTGGACCAGAACTTAGGGGAGCCGGTTTCCCATGAGCTCATTTTCAGGCACTTCAAACAAAATAAAGTGGAGATTGCATGTGCCATAAAAATGCCATTTCCTTTCCTGATGAGCCTCCGAGACCACGCCTTTATCTCTGAGCAGAAGTATGAAGTAAGTGGAGCGAATTCCTTCATAGCAGGAGACCAGCCTGTATTATGCCAAACCTCAGGGTGTGGTCGACAGGCTGGAGGGCCTCCTTTGAGTGGAGACCTCACCTCCTTGAGAAGTTCAGAGGTGACAAGAGAAGCAGTCATCACAGAAACCATTTTTTTTCTGCAGTAACTGTTGGTGGAGGCACATGAGCATGGAGCAGGGCTGGATGGGAGCAGAAGGGCTCAAAGGTGCAGAGCATCTTAGGTTCATCTTACAGCATCCCAACGTAAACTAAAATGAGAGGAGACAAGGCCAAGCATTGCTTTGTTACAAAACCCACTTATTTGAAACACTTGAGCCTGAGAGTTTTGAAATTCACAGGGTGGTTGTGCCATGTAAGGGTAAATTTGGAAGCAGATGCTTGCTACCCTTTCTCCAAATGTTTTTTTTGTTGTTGCTGTTTAGACATTTCTGGAGGCCAAGGATGTAGTACAGGTTAGCAGTGGGTTCCTCTGGGGATATTGAGGACAAGCCTTCTCTGTCTTTATGAATCTTCTTTGCCCTTTGTCCAGGATCACAGAAGTAGGGAGTGGCTTCTTGGAGCCCTTTAGACCAAGCCTATCCTGGAAGGAGGGCAGTGCTTACCTGAATAGCTTCTCATGGTCTGTTAGGGCCACTTATTCTGGCCTGGCTTCTAAAGCCATTTAACTTTGGACAATTATTGCTCAAAAATACTTTCTCTTTTCACTGTATATCAATGTCAGAGAGTGAGGTTCACAAGAATAAGTCTATCTTATGGCAGAGAACATTTAAGAAGTTATCACAATGTATGCAAATTACTAACATCTCACAAGAGAACAACAGATGGTCTTTGTACTAACCTAGGAATCTTTTGTAACCCATAAATCCATAGTGACACCATTCTCCATTCAATATTTTTAAGTATTTTCAAGAAAGTTGTAGAAACCTGATTCCAGTGGCAAGAGTAATGTATGATGTCCTCAGTGAGCTGGAGAAGAAGTTCGACCTGTCGCTTCTGAAAGTGCTGTTCAGCAGAACCAACCTAATAGCCTACCCTGACTTAAAGGAGATTCTCAGAAGTTTCCCAGGTGGTAACTATGGCTTTCAACCGCTTTTGGGGTTCAAGTCTATTACTTTCATTTGTCATTAATATTTATTAATGATGCCATTATATTTATTTATATATCTTACTGAGGGACTTTGACATGCCAAGCACAGAGGGAATACAGTGTTAAAGAAAACATACAGGGGGTTGGGAGTGTGGCTTAAGTGGTAGAGCACTTGCCTAGCAAGCACCAGGCTGAAAATAGACATGGCTTGTGTCCTCATGGAGTTTATGTGTGCCAGGTAACCCCAGAAATGATTGTTCAGCCGGAACCTGATTTTGATGCTGCAAAACACAGAGTTTATATCTCTATTCTTTGTTTATTTGGTGTTTTTTTGTGGTTCTTGAATTTGAACCCAGGGCCTTGCACTCAGGTGCTCTACCACTTGAATCAGACCCCCAGCCCATGTCTGTACTCTTCTTTGGAGGAAGGTATGAATGGTGCACTTTCTTAGAAAGGAGGAAGTGCCCCTCTGATGCTGACAGACATGTCCAATGATAAAAGACTTTCTTTGTATTAGAAAATCTATTTCAGTGCAGTCCTGTGTCAACTTACCTCTCAAAGGAAGCGTGGAAAAGTCACAGAGAAGCCCAGCATGTGCCCAGACCCCGGATGGGCAGTGTGTGTCAGCTGTGAAGTGCTCTGAGCATGGGCTGTCAGAACCCCAGGCTGCATTGCAGAGGACAGGAGGGAGTTTTAGAAGCTGATATTGAGGACCTGACACCTGGTGCTAAGGAATTTGAAGTTTGTTATCTAGGAAATAGGCAATAAAGGATTTGTAAGCAGAGAAGTCACTATGACTTAACTAGAGTAAGAGCTATCTTAGTTCCATACTATGATGTACAGATCAGAGAAAGGAATGAAGGAAATCAAATACCTTGGCACAAATTTGCAGTCAATATCCTATGTGTGGCCATGCTGTCCCTAGATACCAGTGTGAGGGCATGCATTTCCTTCATCGCCCACATCTCAGGGGCTCTGCTCCTCTCTGCTAGTCAGCTTTCCATAGCTCTGACAAAATGCCTGAGATAAACAAATGAACAAGGAAATGTTTATTTGGGTGGCTGAGAAACAGAGAAAGCAAGGGTTTGGGTCCCAACTTAACCTCACAGGTACATTCCCAGTGACCTGACTTCTTTCCACCTCCTCAAGTTTCTACCACCACCCAAAAACGCCACAGCCTGGCAACCATACCTCCTCAGGTGGTCTTTGGGGATAGATAAGATCCAAATCATAACACTCCCCATGGACTGCAGGGACCTCCGTCCTGGACCCCAGCACCTGCACCTCTCACAGAAGCACCTGCATCTCTCACAGAAGCACCTGCATCTCTCACAGAAGCACCTGCGCACAGGGTTCTCCATGCGTTCGATGGCCCTCTTGGCCACATGGCTTTCCCCTCACTCTCCTGGACATGAAGTCAGCACACCCTGGGATGCTGACCCATTGGTCCTCTGCACCTTCACCCCCTCTGCTTCCCCCACCTGGGGGGCGGTTGCCCCCAGAGGGTGCACACCATTATCAGAACATCTTGGGAAGTATCTTTCCATGTTTCTTGAGTGTTTTTTCTCTCGTGTCTTGTGGGTCTTGCTTCTCCATCTATGTTTGCTGGATCGCCTTGATATGCAGCTCTGGAGCCTGCAGTGGTTTTGGCAGCTCCTTGGGTCACTGGTACTGATGTGGTTATAGTACTTCCTGTTTGTGCCTTTCAGACAGCAGATTTTCATTTGTTTCTTGGCTCATGCTTGCTAGGCAGTTGCTCTACTGCTTGAGTCACACCTCCAGCCCCTTTTTTTCTGATTATTTTTAAGCTAGTGTCACTTTTTCCCTCAGTTCTGGACCATGATCCTTCTATTTTATGCTTCCTCCATAGCTGGGATGACAGGTGCAATCCACCATGCCCAGCTTTTTCTGTTCAGATGGGGTCTCCCAAACTTTCTTTTTTGCCTGGGCTGACCTTGACCTTCAGTTCTTCTGTTCTCTGCCTCTTAAGTAGCTAGGATTACAGGCATGAACCACCGCACTGGGCTTTGCTGCTATATTCCTTTTTAACTAGATTTTCTTCTCTGACTAAATTAAAACAAAGATCCTTTCTATTTCTTTTTATCTACCTCTTCCCCTCTCTCTCTCCTTTATTCCCTCTCTCACCTCTTTTTTCGTTCCTTCCTTTCTTCTTTCTCCATCCTTAAAAGCTATTAAATCTCTCTCTCTCTCTGTCTCTCTCTCTCTCTCTCTCTCTCTCTCTCTCTCACACACCCTTCTCCTTAAGAAATCCCTTTGCTCTTCCTACTCATAGTTATATGTAGTTTCAAAAACATTTTTCACATTTATTTATTTGAAATTGGCTTCACTCTTCTTTGATTGTTTTGAAGAGACATTAGCCACTCAACTTTTTCAGTCTTTTTTTTTTTTTTAAATTTTGAGAGATGCTTCTCTATGGTGAACACCTGTAGGATTCCAGGAGCAAAACCAAGGCATAGGCCATATGGGACCTACTGCAGCCCAGGGTGTTCGGGGGTCTGGAAGTTTCCACAGAGGCACTGGAGTCAAGCATGCACCTGGGTGTGTAATTGTGAGATGCAGTCCTGGTCACTGCTTCACATCTCTTCCTTCCTTTTCTCAGTGATTCATGGCAATTTCCATTATTCATTACACAAGGAAGCAGAGACACAATCAACATTCAGCATCCAATCAAACTGTGAACAAGGTAGTTGTGATTTGCTAAAACCTTTTATCTCCTTATGTAGTGATTGTTCAAAAATTTTGACAAATAATGTCATTTTATCTCCACAAACTTATAAATTTTGGGGGGAAAACTGTTGCTTATTCCCATTGTACAAATGAAGTAGAAGCATAGAAGTATATAAGGTCGTTAACCATGCCAGAGTTGTAAAGCAAGAACAGGGAGCAGCCTCTTGATGACTCAGTGTGATGGTGGTTGTATGAGGGTACAGAGAGTTAGGGTGACTAGGATCAATAGAGTTCTCATGAGAGACCCGAAGGGCCTTGTTGGTTCCCAGGGGAGTGGATCAGAGCCTGGTGCAAAGGACTCATTCAACAAAAATATTTCAGTAGCAAGAGCAAGGGATAGCAAAGACAGATGGTAGGATTAGAGCCTGCCACATGGGATACAGAGCTCTTGAGGAGTAAAATCAGAAAGAAAAGCTGAGATATAGGTAGGGTGTGTGATAAGGAGCACTGAGGAGCAATGAAGGAGAAAAAGAACTGAGAGGTGCACAACACTCTGTGTGCAGAAGCAATAGCAAATGGAAAGTTGAGAAGGAGAAAGAAGACACAGGAAGGAGCAGAAAGGAGGCAGAGCAAGGCTGGGCGGGGGGCCAGTCTCAGGTGAGATCCTTGGAGCAACTGAATCTTTTCCCAAGGAGAAGCTCAGCTGTGTGCTATATGCAAGAATTCAGCAGGAATGCCTGAAGTTCTCTACCCCTCCTATGTTTCTCTTCAGTTCCCAGTAATTGCTTGGCTTTCCAGAGAATGAATGAAGGAAATGCTGAAGAGGTGTTCAAGCTACCACCAGGTAACTATGTTTTAAATGACCAGTTACCTCACTGAAATTATTTGCCTCCTCTGTTTGCAAGGGCCACTTCTCTTCCTTCTCTCCTTACCACTCCCAACACAAACACATATTTTCATTTACCCTGTGGTTGCTGTCCCCAGGTGTGTGGGAGGCAAGGGAAAGGTAAGCCCCTTAATGGAACAGCAACTGGGTGAAGAGCTTAAGGGTACAAAGTATTAACAATGTAGATTAGAGAGCAAATGGAGCTTCCTTCCCTCTCCCGGTGTTTTCTATGTCAGTATGGAACACTGCTTCTCCATTCTTAATCAGAAACCTAGAAGTTATTAATGACCGGTCCCCTCCCTCCTAGTCATCTAGTTTGGTCAATTCTGTCTTCCATATATCTCCCCCGCATCCTTTCCTCTCCACTGCCAACACAAACACCCTAATCAGATCTTCCTTTTACCCTGGAGACTATGGAGATGGCCTTTAGTCTCACACTTTTCCCCAAGTCATGCTCCATCACGTCCATTCTCTCCAACATGGTGAGATGACTCAGAAAGATGCAGGTTAACGTGCCTTACTTTCCTATTTTAAATAAACAACTTCTTGTTATAAGGATTAAGTCCATTTTCCTTTTCAAGGCTGCAGCTTCATGCCTCTCCTGCTCTTCCTTCAAAGCTTATGCAAAACTTTTATAGTAACTTTAATTTTCTGATTCTTCCACCTTCTCTGATCCTTTGCCCATGCTTAGCCTTGTGACAGAATGGCCTTTTTGAGCCTCCTCCACTCTCCATCCTGCTCACTAACCTGGTGAAATCACATTCCATCCCAGAGATACCTTTTCTGATGCTTAATTCTAGAAGGTAACAGGATGAGAAATGGGTAAGATGTAAAGCCCAGCTTCAAGGAGGCAAAGGAAAGAAAGGGAGTGGGAGACAGACATGGAAAATGAGGCAAGGCAAGACAAAGAGAAGTACCAAGAGTCCAATGGCCAGACCCACAGGTAGAAACAAAAGAAGCAGAGAAGAGCAGAAAAGGAAGAGTGGGCACCAGCGGCCTGGGCTGTCACTAAACGACCATTGTGCCAGTCATGGGTCAAAATAGGAAGAGGAAATTAGGTTCCTGGAAGAGTGGGTCAGGACCCAACACAAAACTTTAATTCGGAGTGACAGAATCTCTCTGTACTTTGCACAGTACAGTGACTAGAGACAACTAGAATATGTCATACATTTCAAAAGGACTTTGAAAGTTTTCATTATAAAGAAACGATAAATGTTCAAGGAGAGAGAGATGTTTAACTTGATTTAGACATCATACAATATATATATATATATATATATATACGTGTCAGGCATTACATGGAGCCCCATTGACAAGTGCAGTTGTTATGTATCAATTAAAAACAAGTTATAAAAGATGGTGATGAAAAAAGAAAACAATGTTGGAGTGAGGAAAGGGAAATGACAAAGAGCCAAAAAGTATAGGAATGGAGCCTACCCCTGGGATAAGAGAGACCTAGAATAAGAGAGCTAAACTGACCCTAGGAAAACAGAGAAAGGCAAGAGGAGGGAGAGACCAGCAGCTGAGATGGCTGCACCATTGAAGAGACACACAACTAGGAAGAAGAAACGCATGGAGGCTGGACCATAGGGAGAACAGTGAGAAGTGGAGAGAAGGAGACGGAGAAGCAAAAAGATGAAAAAAGAGGCTAAAAGAGCAACTGTGTGGCTCTCAGTGTGTGGAATGAATGCATGTTCTTCCCACCGAGGGAGGCCCAGCATGCTGACATCTGCCCTAGGTCTCCTCCACAGTTCATCATTGTCTTGTTCTCCACAGAGACCTGTCATCCCCAGACTCTCCAGTTGACTACTGAAAGAGCACCCAAGGAGGTGCTCAGGCTGTTACCAGGTAAGGAAGAGGGCAGTGATGAGTTAAATTCCCAACTGCCTCAATAAATGTCTGTTTTCTAGTCAGTATAAAAATCCCTGTCTCCTATCCCACCTTTCTGTTCTTCATTTTTGCATACACGCAGATGGAGTTAGGTTCATTTTCTGTTTTTTTATTTCAAAACCATGAGACAGAGAAGAGTAAAAAAGATGAGTAAGTTCCTGACTGGAGAGTGTGTCCTGTGTGCAGAACATAGGGAAAGAAATGACAAAGTTAGGCTTGCCTGTGGTGGTGGACCCGTATGTCAGCAGGCTGTGCCAGGTGAGGTGGAAGATTATTTCAGCTGCTTCTGGAAGCACCAGGAATGTGACCTAACGTTTGCAAGTGATTGAAATCTCACAATTTAGGGAAGTCATCTGAGAGATGGTTAGGATATATCTGACAGAGAAGGGTCTCTGGTTCCATGGTCTCTGTGAAAATGGAAACACCTTTGTGAACCTGGGAGAACAGATCTTCAAGAATGAGGAAAATGTAGAAATCATGGAAAATTTCCAGACATCCAGGGGGCCAAAATAAAACCTCAAGAAACAGAAATAGAAAAGGAGAAAGGGTTGGGAAGCAGATAGGAGGAACGCGGTTTGAGGCCAGCACAGGCAAAAAAGTTACTGAGATCCGATCTAAATAAACAACCCAGGCATGGTAACTCAAGCTGTAACACCAGCTGCACAGGAGGTATAGGTAGGAGATTCATGGTCCAAGACTGACCCAGGCAAAAGTGAGGATGCTATCTGAAAAACAGCTACCGCAAAAAGTATGGAGGTGCAGCTCAAGTGGTCAAGTGCTTGCCTAGCAAGTGCAAAGTCCTGAGTTCAATCCATAGCACTGCCAGTAAATATGTAAATAAATAAAACAAAGGAGAAAGTGGGAGACAAAACAAGACAAGGATAATGTCAGAAGATGCAGAGACAAAATCTAGAGAAAACTGTAGAAAGTAATACTGAACCACTACTACTAGTAATGGGGGAAGGAAGTCAAGAGGAAGCTAAGTAGACAATTGGCACAGAGTGAAAGCTGTCCAGGGCAAGGAGGGAAGACGTGCAGACTGTAGCACTAGATAGAGAACCTTCCAGAAAAGACATCACTATGTTTTCAGATAAGGTCTCCAAAGGAAAAAGGAGGCTTTCAGACTTATCAAGCTATTTTACCTCCTTTCAGATAACAGAATAGTTTTCAAGATAGGGTAGACCTGTCTTGTAAAGCACATCCTTCTGTGTGTCTGAGGACATTTTTTCTAGAATTTTCTCCAATAGCATACCTCTCAGGAACTGACCACTCCCCCAGGGACACTATCATTTTCCTGCTAGCACTAGAAACTCCTGTTTACCCAGGCTTCTCTCTTTCAGCACGTCCTGTTGCTCTTACACCTGTCCTTATGTTCTCACCATTGTTGTTTGCAGGGGTAAATCACATCCTATCATCCTCCCTTATGCCTGCTGATCTTTTTTGTCCTAGGTTAAACAGTTTCCCTTCTTATGGGTTTCTGTAGCTTCCATTTGCCATGGGGAGGAACGCCTCACCTACATTCCTAACTCACTCTTAACACAGGGGTTACAACATTCAGATCTTTCCTTGATATGTGGCCTTGATATGTGTTGGGTGGTGTTGACTTGGATGCCCCCCTCCTTTGCCCCTTGTCCCCTTCTCTGATCTGATTCTGTTATCTTATCCCAGTATTATGCTTAGGAAGAGAAATGGGGAGACAGAAACAAATGAGATGGGGAAGAGGAACAGGGTGCAAGAGACAAAGAGAAGAGACAGAAACACATTTCAAGAGCAGCTTCTATGTGAGGCCTGAGTTCAAACCCCAGTACCGCCAAAACAAAGCAAACAAAAGCAACAAGAAAAAATAAAGAACTGATTCTAAAGACCTCGGCAGTCAGAAACAGGGCAGAGAGAATACATGAGAGAAAAGGGGAAGGAGAGAGAGGAGAAGATCAGGAGAAAGTGAGCTGGAGGATGGCCTTCATCCTTGGTGATAGTAACAAGAGTGTGCCCAAAGTGTGAATTCAAAGCACAGACCATCAAGGTCTGGACAGGGATGGTCCCAGGCAGGACCCACTGGAGACAACCACACCTTCACTCTGCTTTTCTGATCATGATTTCCCCTTAGTTATACACTCAGACCTTGGCTGCCTCCTGAGGCATTTCATTTCATTTCATTTCTGCAGAACAGAGCAATGTCTCTTTGGAAATGTGTGAGGGAGAAAAGCCCTAGGCCACCTTGTGCTTCCCACCCAGATGTGGGTCAGGTGAGGAACTGAGCATTTCCATCCCTGGGCAGCAGGTGCATCGGAAGCATGCAGATGGCTGCTATTGGGGTCCCGGCAAACACGCTCCACTAATACTCAGATATGAGCCTTCCCATTTGCATCAGCCTTTTGTAATACAAGGAGGAATTCCTGTGAGTCCTGTTTGGAACAGTGTGATCCTTACTGGTAGGAGATGTGTGTTCACATGTTGAAGTAGTAAGAACCAAGGAAAGACTGTTTTCTCATTTTCATGGCTCTTGTCTAAGCTAAAGGTTCAATATTATGATATCCATGCCTGTGCACCTCTCTTTTCTCTGAACTTCCTGGTTCCACCTGCACACTTGAGTTATATTTCTGGGGACCTCTTCATAATCTGTTGTGTCCATGTGTTTTACAGTGTCCTGTAATCATAAAGATTCACAGATGATCACTGAAGATGGAGCAGAGGAGGTGGCCAACCAAACACTCTGTAATGGAGGAGGTAATCATGCTTCAATTCCCAATCAACTCATGAGTCTTTGCCTTTATTTCTGTAGGAACAAAAGTCTCCCATTTCCCACCCATTCTATCCCACTCCTTTCATGTAACCGGGCAGAAGAAATTGGCAGAGCTAGGGAAGAGGGTCAGATATAAGAGAAAACAGGTTGTTCAGGGAAGGAGTCAGGTGGGTGGCCTGTCCTCTGCACTCAGTGATAATGGCAGAAGCTGTGTTAACCATGGTGCCAGGGTCTGAAGACAGGGATGTTCCCTATTGGGTCACATGAGCCACATTGGTCTTCCTGGTTCTCTCTTGGTGGGCTTCCTGTTTTGGTTCCCTTTGCTAGAAGGGATTTTGTTCCTCTCGGCAGAAGGTGACAGTACTTGTTTGCAATCATTTAATGGAGATGAGTCCCGGGATACCTTGTGCACACCACCAAGAATCGGAGGAGGTAAGGGAAGAACTTACTGCAAGGTGTTGGGAGAATGGACTCTGAGTTGTGTTTCTTGGTAGATTTATGATAAGCACACTTTACAAGAAAAAGTTTCAGTTATTCCTTGAATACCATTCTTCATATTCACCCATGGATGGAGGGGAGATTCAGGAGACAAGAAATCTTGAGAAACTCCATGTTGTTTTTATTGTCTTACTGGTGGTTCATTGTCACATTTACAAAAGTTCATACGATATGTTGAAGTTGCATTCACCCCTCTATCATTCTCTGTTACTCTCTCTCCCCTCATTCCTGGAATAGTTTCAATAGATCTCATTTTTCCACTTTCGTACATGAGTACATAGTATTTCTACCATATTCATCCAAGGAACTCCATGATCAAAGGATCCTGTTTGATTTTAGGTGTTCATCTGTCCATTTGTCTTAGAAATGAGTTATGATAAGAGCATGCTCTTTTTGCCTTGTCTTTTCACACCTACCACATTGTTTCTTGAATTTTGTAACAATTTCTGTTACAGTGTTTATTTTTTAATGGAAACCAAAAAGCTTGGCAGTCCTGTGCTAGTTGATAATTTTTATCATTTTTTACACAAACTTGACAAAACTTTCAAAGAAACAGTATAACTATCAAAATGACAGCATTCAGATGAACTGTTTACAAAATCAAATGCTATTTTTTAAATTAATTCTGTTCATATGTCATTTGATCATATAGTGTTTTCTCAGAGTACTTTCAGAAGTGTGTTATTTTTTTTATCCCCTAAACCCTTAGATAGGGACATTTTTACTTTTTTAAGATACTAAAAACATAAAATTGGATAAGATACAGCTGTATCATAAACCCAATAGGGACAAAAACAGCAGACAACAAATTCTCCACTTGGGCTTGGATTCTGTGCAGGTGGCATGAGTTTGGGAGAGATCACATGATTTGAGTCCAAAGTGCAAGTCCAAAGGTCCTTTGTTTACCCAAAAGAACCTACCAGGAGTAATGGAAAGGGATTTCATTTAGCAAATAAGCAATGCTTAGGGAGAGAAGAAGAAAAAATCGTAAAGATCAGAAAGTATGTGAATGTCATCTACTTATGAGAGAAAAGATACCCAGAAAAATAGAGGTAGAAAAGATGAGCACAGAGCATTGTGAATAATTCATTACATCACTCAGGAGGAAAGACAAAAATCAGGGAGAGAAGAAATGTCAGGGAGAGGAAATCCAGAGAGTCACAGAGAACCACAAAGCTTCAGTGTGTGGTGATGGAGACATGTGCACTATTAAAAGAAGCAGCTAGTACCTAATATCATGCAAAAGGTGGAGCTCATTTTTTTTCTTTTTTGAGGAAGTGTCAAACTACATAGTCCACTAGACCTCACTATGTAACCCAGGCTGGCCTCAAACTCAGCATCCCCCTATCTTAGCCTCCTGAGTGCTGGCATTACAGACATGGGCCACCAACCCAGCTGGAACTCATTGTTTTAAAATCAAGAAACTCTTTTGCTTGTGAATCACATTTCCTCTGACAAGCACTCATAGTATAGAGTGTCTGGGGAAATGTGTGTCTCAGGGATTGGTGGATATTCAGAAGTGGCCTAGTGTGGGGACTGGTTGACCTTTAGCATCTTTGGAAATGTGTGAGGGAGAAGAGCTCCAGGCCTCTTTGTGCTCCCCACCGAGATGTGGGCTGGGTAAGAAACTGAGCATTTCCAGCTCTGAATGTCAGGATGCATGGGGAGCATGCAGGTGGCTACTATTGGAGTCACAGCCAACACATTTCAGCTAATCCTCAGATAGGAGCCTTCCCATTTGTGTTGGCCTTTTTGTCCAACACAAGGAGGAATTCCTGTGAGTCCTGTTAGGAACAGTGTGACCCTTATTGGCAGGAGATATGTGTTCCCTATTCATGTTGAAGTAGTAAGAACTAAGGAAAGACTTTTCTCCTTATCATGGCTCCTGCCTATTTAAGCTAAAGGTTCAATATTGTGAACTCAATGCCTTGAACCCATGTTTTTTCTGAACTTCCTGGTTCCGCCGGCACACACACTGTATTTTACAGTGTCCTGTAATCGTGAAGATTCACAAATGATCACTGAAGATGGAGCAGAGGAGATGGCCAGCCAAGCACGCTGTAATGGAGGAGGTAATCATGCTTCAATTCCCAATCAACTCATGAGTCTTTGCCTTTATTTCTGCAGGAAGGAAAGTCTCCTCTTTCTCCAGTCATTCTATCCTGCTTGTACCCTGGCAGAAGAAATTGGCAGAGCTAGGGAAGAGGGTCAGATATAGGAGATAATGAGTTGTTCAGGGAGGGAGTGAAGGGGGTGGCTTGCTCTGCATTCAGTGATAATGACAGGAACTGTGTTAGCCTTGGTGTCAGGGTCTGAAGACAGGGACATTCCCCATAGGTCTTCCTGGTTCTGTCATGGTGGGCTTCCTGCTATGGTTTCCCTTGGCCATACACAGACTCCTCTAAGGGATTTCAATCCTTTTTGCAGAAGGCAACAGTACTTGTTTGCAATCATTTAATGGAAATGAGTCCCTGGATGCCTTGAACTCAACACCAAAAAGTGTGCAAGGTAAGGGAAGGACTGTGTGGTCTGCAGGTTATTGGGAGGCTGGAATCTGGCTGGTGTTTCCTGGTGAAGTTATTCTTAGCACACTTCACAAGGAGGATGTGCAATTGCTCTTTGGACACTGTTCTTCATATTTACCCATGGATGGTGGGGAGGTTCAGGTAGATAAGAAGTCTTAAGAAACTGTATGATTAAGGGCTCTTGTTTGCTGTTAGGTGTTCATATATTCAGTTGTCTTAGAAATGGGTTAGGACAAGAAAGAGTGCTCTTTTGCCTTGCATTTTCACACCTAGTATACTATTATTTCAATCAATGTAACAATTCCTGTTCTCATTTAGTCTTTATTTTCTATGGAAATCAAGGGGCTTAGCATTCCTCTGCTAGTTGATAATTTTTATCATTTTTTTCACAAACTCGACAAAATCTTTAAAGAAACAGTCTAATATTATCAAATTGACAGAATTATTCAGATGATCTATTTATGAAATAAAATAACCAAATTTTTTTTTAAAACCAATTTTCTCCATATGTCATTAGATCATATGGTGTTTTTTCAGAGTACTTTCATAAATGTGCTATCTTTTTATCCCCTAAATTCTTAGGCAGTGAAACAATTATTTTTTCAAGATACAGCTGTATTCATGTGGTTTGAAGGTGGAGGGCATCATGTTAAGTGAAATAAGCAAGGTTCAGAAAGACAAAGGCCACATGTTTTCTATCATATGTGGAAGATAGATCCAAAGGATAAACACATACACAAAAACAAACATGATCACATAAAAACTTATATGTAGAACATGCTTGTAACAGTGGAACTACTCTATGAATCTCTGGGAGGAGGGAAAGGAAAAGACAATGGTAGACGGGCAACAATATCATAATACATAACATCTGTAAAGGTAGAGGATATAATGATATGTATTGGAAGCTGTTGAAAAATGGGGGCATGGGAGCAAAGGAGTCAGGGAGAGTAATGGAAGGGGTTGAATGGACCCATGTAAAGAACACTCACAAAGGGGACATTTCAAGAAACCCCTTTGACATTGACTTAGCAGTTAATAAGGAAAGTCAGGAATGTAAAATAGGTATAGTGTGTGTGGGGGGAGGGAAAGTGAATGAAGGAGATGAAGGTGAGGGAATATGGTTGATGGACGTCATATATTTATACAAAATAGAGCAATGAAACCTCCTGCAATTGCTTTAAATGGGGCCGAGAGGAGGTCTAGGGGAAGAAATGGTGGGGGCCATTTAACCAATGTACAATATAAACCTATTTGGAGTTGTCACAATGAATCCCCACTGTACAAGGAATATATCCTAATTTTAAAAAATACAGAGTGTTATGAGACCCAATAAAGACAAAAAGAGTAGAGATCAAGTTTCTGGATGGCTCTACTTCGGCTCTGATTCTTGAAGCTGGAATGGGTTGGGGAAAGGGGTTCCATGGTCTGAGTCCAAAATCCATGTCCACAGGGCCTTTGGGTACCCAGATGGACCTATCAGGGGTCAATGGAAAGGGATTTTATTTAGCAATAAAGAATGGTAAAGGAAAGAAGAGGGAATAATCATAAAATTAGAAAACATGTGAGTGTAATGTGCTATATGAGATAGAGGATATCCAGAAGAATAGAAGTAGAACATAGAAGCAGTGTGAAAAATATGGTATATCATTCAGGGGAAAAGACAGACAATCAGGGAGACAGATAATTTCAAGGGGAGGAAGTCCAGAGGGTTAGAGAGAAGCACAGACCTCCAGAGTGTGGTGATGGAGATGTGGGTACTATTTTTTTAAATTTTTTATTAGCATGTAATAGTTGTACAGGGGGAGGGTACATTGTGACATTTACATATATGCTTGCCATATATCTTAGTTAGATTTACCCCTTCTATCATTTTCCCTCATCTCCTCATCCCCTTTCTTAGAACCATTTCAACAGGTTTCAGTATTCTATTTTCATATATGAATACAAAAATATATCCACCATACTCACCCTCACTCCTCCTTTCCTTATGCACCCCCTGAAAAGATCCATTTAACCCCCCTTTACTTCATTTTTTGAAGTATAAATTGGTAGTCCAAGGGGGTTTTGCCTTGGCATTTCAGACATGTAATTATACTTTAATCAAATTAACCTCCTCATTGCTTACTCTTTCTCTATCACCCTGCTCCCCTGTTATTCCACAGCTTAAAATACATTACATTATGTATGTTATCATATATATATATATATATATATATATATGTATATATATATATATGGAAAGTTTCAATATTTTTTATTGTCTAGCATTCTTATTCTTTTCCCCCCATTTCTGTAGACAAACCCACCAATACAATCTTGTTCTCTCTCTTTCTCTTTCACTATATACATGTATATAAAAGCACATATATGTATTTATATGTGTACACTTAACTTATAGGTCAAATGTGTGTCCTATTAGAAGAAGCAGCTACCTCTTAATATCAAACAAAAGCTAGCACTCAGTTTTTGTTCTATTTTGAGATACAGTCTCAGTCTCACTACATAGCCAAGGCTAGTCTAGAACTCACTATATAACCCCGGCTGGCCTTGCACTCAAGATCCTCCTGTCTCAGCCTCCTTATTGCTGGCATTATAGGCATGTACTCCCACACCCAGCTGGAGCTCATTGTTTTAAAATCAAGAAAGAGTTTTGCTTGTGAATCATGTTTTCTCTGACAAACACTCATATTGTTGACCTTTAGCAGTGAACGCAGATGACCAGAGCATGACTGGTACCATTCAGCTAACTAACAGAAGCATGAGTATATGAGTGTTTGCTTGGATTCCTTACAGAGCCCATGTACTGGACTGACACTACCATAGAATAATTGGAATGATTCTGGATGATACTGGTTCATGTGGCCAAAGAAACATGTGTTTTCCTAGCAGTGTAGGAACATTTAATGCTCAGCTTCCCCTCATTAAAGGTGTCCCTCATTAAAGGAAGCAAGTAGAACCCTCAAATAGTGTCCATACTCAAAATATCTTCTCTGAAATAGAACACTGGATTCAAAATACTTGGATTTCCCTTCATTGATGAAGAGTGATGGAGTTTTTGGGTTGAGAGTGTTATGCATGGGGAAAGTGATAGATCAAAGAGAAGCAAAAATATTTAATAGTTAATTATTTGAATGGCAGAACACCCTTGAATGTGTATAATTAGTAATAGAAATACACTGCATACAGTATCATCATATTAAAGGTGATTCCAGCACAAAATCTCCACAAGTTTGACTAATGTAGTCATCTGCTATTGCTTTGAGACAGCTAGCTAAACTGTGTCCATTATCATTGGGCCTTTAATGTCTGTCATATTTTGACCCACTACCCATAGAACATGGTTTATTGTTTTACATACAAACAAAATAAGGAAATTATGATATTATAGGGGATTCAGTGTACATGGTCATTGATGGAGTATTTTTAAATCCTCAAAGTCTTTTCAATTTCTGTACTCCAGGAGAAAGACTCCCAGATAATCAATGTAGTCCAAATGCATAAATCTCAACATGAAACATGAAGCAACAAGGCAACAGCTCTCCCTCAAAAGCCAACTGTACCACTAAGGGCTTAAGCAATAGCAAAGAGGAGGAAATATCAAAAATTGAGTTAAAAAAATAGTAAGACTGATCAATGAGCTCAAAGAGGACACACATAAGCTAGTGATTTAACTCAAAAAGGATATGAATAAACAACTAACTGAGCCCAAAGAGAATTCAAACAAATGAATGAAATAAGGAAGACAATGCAAGATAATAAAGAGTAAATTGATAAAGATATGGAAATCCTGAAAAATAATCAATTTGAAATGAATAGTTCAATATCCCCCCCAAAAAAACTCAGTTGAAAGTTTGGCTAACAGAGTGGAGCAAGTTGAAAATAGAGTATCTGGAATGGAAGACAAAATAGAGAAATGGTCAGTCAAGACCATTAAAAAATGTGAAGAGAATATGAATGAGACACCATCAAAAGACAAATTCATGAATCATGGATATAAAAAGGACAAGAGATACAAACTAAAGTTGGAGATAACTTATTCAATGACATAATAGCTGAAAACTTCCCCAGTCAGGAGAAAAAGAAGGGCATCCAGATACAGGAGGCTTTCAGAACATCAAACCAGAAAGACCAGACATACAACAATCAAAGACTCAATATACAGAACAAAGAATATTGAAAGCTGCAAAAGAGAAACAACAGGTCACATATAAAGGCAAACCCATTAGAATAACATCAGATTTCTCAGTGCAAACTCTAAATGCAAGAAGGTTGTGGAAAGATATGTTTCAGACCCTAAAAGAAAACAAATGTCAACCTAGACTAGTCTATCCAACAAAACTATTCTTCTTAATTGAAGGAGAAGTGAAAATTTCCACAGCAAACAAAAATTAAAGAAATTTATATTCACCAAACCAACACTACAAAAAATGCTTAAAGGAACCCTACAAACAGAAGAAGGAATTAGACACAGCCAGGAAAATGCAAGAAAGAATAAACCCCACTACCAAATAAACTTGTAAGCAAGAAATAGGGAAAAAGGAAACATCAGAAAACAAAACAACAAAATCACTGGAAATACTACATACCTCTCAATTTTAACACTGATTGTTAATGGCCTTGATGCCCCAATCAAAAGCCATAATATAGCAAGTTGTATTAAAAAGCAAGAGCCAACCATTTGTTGCTTACAAGAAACACATTTCACTGACAAAAACAAACATTGACTTTGAGTGAAAGGGTGGTAAAAGATCTTCCAACAAAGGACCCCCCCAAAAAACAGGCAAGAGTAGCTATACTCATATCTGACAAAGTAGACTTCAGACAATAAAGTCAGAAGGTCACCTCATATTAACAAAAGGAATAATTCATCAATAGGAAGTAATGATTTTTAACATATATGTGCCAAATAACATTGGTGCACCTAACTACATTGATAAAAACACACCTAGACATAAAAGCACAGATAGAATCCAACACAGT